GATTTATGCAATCTTTACTAATTGATACTTCTTTCATATTTCTTCTTTCTCTTTCTTTATAGATCCTCACTCAACTCATTACTCTCATCAGAGCCTTCTCTGTGGCTGCTCTGACCCTCTGGAACGAACTCCCCGTGGAGATTCGAACCCTCACCACCCTCCAGGCCTTCCGCAAAGCCCTTAAAACCTGGCTATTCCGACAGGCCTGGGGCTAAAAAGCTTCTGCCCCCCTTCTCGAATTGTATGGTTGTTGTGTGTTTTTAAATTGTGTACTGTTATGTTTGTTTTTTCTTTTACCCCCTGTCTGTACCCCTTCCCGATTGAACTGTGAGTCGCCCTGAGTCCCCTTCGGGGAAAAGGGCGGCATATAAATGAAATAAATCTAAAAAAATATATATCTAAATCTAATACTCCCTGCACTGGCTTACCTCAGCCAGGCCATCCATGCCTTGACATCTGCCTCACCTCACAGCCGTGGTACACCACTCGGCCTCCTGCTCTGTTATGGCTGTGAGCAAACAGAAGTGGGCCAGTGGCCATGTAGACTCCTGCTACAAATGGCTGCCAGTGCTGCTGGCACAAGGCAGGTGTCAGAATGTGGATGGCCTGACTGCGGGGGCCCTGAGGTAAGATGGTGTGGGGCATGTAGGGTAGCTCCATTCCCCCTGCCTTGCAACACAAGCAACCAGAATGGGTGGGCAGTTGGCAGAGTAGGCTCTTAGGTAGAGCTTATTTTGGTGGGGAGGGGGGTAGTGCTTATATTAGGTGCATGCATAAAACATGCCAGGTCTTATTTTCAGGATAGGTCTTATTTTCGGGGAAACAGGGTACTTGGAAATATACCCTAAACTAGAGAAATTTATTGGACTTATTTTTTTAGTCATCATGAGTAAAACTAGCTTTCCAGGCCATTACAACCACAACAACTACAAGCTGGCCCTAATTCCTACTTTAGGTCAGAGCTACATGCCCACTCCTTTCATACTAAGCATGGGTGGAGTGGGTAGACTAATTCATTAATCTTGGCTTTGTGCATCTCTTTGCTCAAACATATCAGCTCAAAGTAGATTCAAAAATACTTCCAGGCAAATCCAAAATCAGCCTTTTGAGACAGGCCTAGTTAAAGACCAGACACCGCAGGAATGCCAGAAAAGCATTTTCATTTTTGTTTGATATACACTAACAAAAATCTTGAAAGCCTGCCCAAACCCTTCACTGCTCCTTTTCAAGGACAAAAGAAACTCAAGGTAGATTTTCTCTGAATCTCTTTCTCATCTTTCTACTTTCTCGGGGCACAGCATCTCTCCCCACCCCTTCTTAAATTCTTCTACATCTGGGGATCTTTAAAAGGGAAGACATCCAAATTCTGGAGAGTTTCTCCATGGTCAATTATCTTTCACTGCAATATGCAACTGCTTTATATTTTCTTGATGAGTTAATAGTTTTGCCTGGCTAGGATAGAGACTATTGCAAAATTCCTGGGCCATAAGATAATTGGGAAAATGGAAAGACTTCATGGAAAAGACAGCGGGGAATTTTTCTCCATATTACATCCCGAAAATTACCTAGGCTTGTCCAGGAAGTCTCTGTAAACTCAGCATGACACACTTTTGATCACTGGCACTGATGATGTAATCTATTCTGGTTAAGAAAACTTCTGCAAGAAAACAACTAAGGGAGTTCCAAGGACGCCTCATTTCATCCCTGAGCTACAAATATTCTCCTTTATTGTTTTTTTATCAGTTTACATGGAGGAAATTCACAGCAAGTGAAAGTCTTACAGTAGAAATGATTGCCTGCTAGTTCTTGACTTACAACTAAAATTGAGCCCAAATTTCTATTGCTACTGTTGAGACAATTAAGTGAGTTTTCTCCCATTTTACCACATTTGTCACCATTGTTAAGTGAATCATTGCAGATATTAAGTTAGTAACGCAGTTGTTAAGTGAATCTGGCTTTCCCATTGACTTTGCTTGTCAGAAGGTCACAAAAGGTGGTCACCTGACCCTGGGACACTGCAACCGTCATAAATATGAACCAATCACTAAGCAGACTTGTTTTTTTTTTCACTTTGGTCTCAGTATTCCATCTCTAAAATGAAAATGATCTCTAAAACTGCAAAACGTCTTTCCTAGCCTGATCTTTTCTAACTCAGCTCTAATATTTTTAAGAAAACAGGGAGAAAATAAACTTGTAGGAATAGGAATATTCTTTACTGGCCAAGTGTGGTTCGATACACAAGGAATTTGTCTCCGGTGCATAAGCTTTTGGTGTACATAAAAAAAAAAAAATCAAAGTGGTAAGTAATAGATCATAAATCATAAGGTACAATCTTAAATCACAAAATACAAACAACATGTGATAAATCATAAGATACCAATGGAGAAGACAGTAGGAAAGATGAGAAAGATGAGAAGATGTAGCTGCCATCATAACTGAGACGGGAAGGCATCATCATGAAAATTGCTGTGATCCATCAATTACAGATTTTACTAGCTTACTGGGTGCCTTTGATTATAGCCACCTGCTCTTAGAGACTTTCCAGCTCTTTGCTGATGATTATAATGTTTAGAGAGCATACAGAAGCCTCTTAATACTTATTTTCTCCAAACTGAAAAGAACTTCAACATCCACCAGAATCCTTTGGCAAGTGATGGCTTGGGAAAGAGGCTAAGTCTTATCTCCCTTGCTTTAAGTAAGATAAGAAATAGTAGTAGTCGCCTACATATCTTACCTTATCAGCCCCAGGAAGACTTAACAATGAGATAAATCCTTCTTTGAACTGAACTGAAAAATTGAATCATGTCTTGTCAAGAAATAAAAAAGGGGCCATTGATTTCATTTCCTAGGAAACCACATGGATTTCTACCTTACTCATACAATATTGGTTTGTCCCTGCAAAGCGTGGATATACAGGTAGCCCTCCACTTGGAAACAAAATCGGGACCAGGATTTTTGTTGTTGAGTAAGACACTTGTTAAATGAATTGTGCACATTTTGCAACCTTTTCTGCCACGGTTGTGAAGTGAATCACTCCTGTTGTGAAGTAAATCGGGTGTTCATTAAGTGAATCTGGCTTCTCCCACTGACTTTGCTTGCCCAAAGCTGAGAAGGTAGCAACCAGGATCCTGCGACTTTTGTAAATATTTGCCAGTTTCCAAGCACCCAAACTTTGATTATGGGACTGTGTGGGTGCTGCAATGGTTATAAGTATGAGAAGCAGTTTGTAAATTATTTTTTTCATTACCATTTTACTATTGCATGGTCACTAAACAAATGGCTGTAAGTTGAAGACTCCCGGTAGTATTAGGTACACCTCCTTCATAGGTCTTTTGTGGGCAAGATTGTACAGGTAGTCCTCAGCTTACAACAGTTCATTTAGTGACTGTTCAAAGTTACAACAGCACCGAAAAAGTGACTTATGATTGTTTTTTGATAGTTATGACTTTTGCAGCACCTCCATTGTCACGTGATCAAAATTCAGATACCTGGCAATTGTTTCACACTTATGACATTTGCAGTGTCCCGGGGTCATGTGATCCCCTTTTGCGACCTTCTGACAAGCAAGTCAATGGGGAAGCCAAATTCACTTAACAACGGTGGCAAGAAAGGTCGCAAAATGGGGCAAAACCCTCTTAACAAGTTTCTCGCTTAGGAACATAAATGTTGGGCTCAATTGTGGTCGTAAGTCAAGGACTACCTGTATACAGTATAGAAAGCCACGCTCCATTAAAAGCCCCAATAACAAAAACTTGCACTGTAGAACTGTAAAAGAGTGTCCAACACTCTTTTCTATTCTAGCTTTACGGAGTTTTAACTATCTCCCAATTAATCATCCAGTATTCTATATTCACTGAGCATGCTCAGTCTACATTGCTCTATCTTACAGGATTTGTCCATGTATTACAATTTATATGTTGCTCAGTCCAACAAGGCTCTAAGTAGCTGGCAAAGAAAACACCAAATATTCTTGAATGATATTCATAAGCCAAATATAAATAAAACAACAGTGCCCTGAGGAACACACACACACACACACCCCAGCAGGTGTGCCGCTTGTCACCAATCTACTCCAAAATTCTTTGGAAGGACCACATTTTAATAACTTTCTGAAAAACCAGCGGGATGGGAGCCAGTTTAATCTGGGGAGGGACATCCTTCAAAGAAGAGGGTCAGCAACAGAGGGAGATGTTCCCTCAATTGAGGGTGACTGGCTCAGGTTCCTCCCCCCCCCCCCGCTATTTTGGAAGACCTTGTGACTCCCACCAGGGTGATAGTTCCCCTTTGTGTGCGAATGTGCCATTTGGGCTACATAAGAGCATCTTAAAAAAGGTGTGATTTCTCTATTATGCATATCCCAACATCAGAGAGGCTTTCGATTTGAACACAGGGCCCTGCAGCAGAATTCCCAAGGATGAGATATGCATCTCAGGGCAACTGGAGTCCCTTTCTTGCACCCTTTAATAATCCTTCACCCTTTCCCCATACCCAGGCCTTCTGTGGGAACTAGATCTGCCCAAATGCCAGCCACCTGGCCTCCAGAAAACAAGGGGAAGGATGCTCACCCAAGAGGCGATATTTGAGGGTCCTTTCATTGAAGGGGTCATCCACACCACAGCGGGGCTGCCTCATCTGGGAGAGGGTTGCCACGTCCACCTGCCCAGTGGTTGGCAGTCCTGAAGCAAGCTGAAAAGCTCTGTTGAACCAGAAACAAGAGGGAGGAAAGAATACACACAGTGATTGGCATTGTCCAACATGCGGACTCTGGTTTACTTAAATCACCAAGTTCCCCAGGTTGCAGGACACTCAACTCATTGCCCCGACCCCCCAGTAGCCTAAGATGTGCTGGGCTTGTCTGTGGTTCCAGTGTGCCTCCCCCTCCCCAAGTGAGACTGCTGACAGGACATCCCAAAGTTTTAGCATGTTTTCCTGAAATATATTTCAGATTTAATATCCCTGGGGCTCTTCATTTTACCTCAAAGCAACCTCGATCTCCTCTTCTGTGAACTTATGTGAGACCCGTTCTAGCGGCTGCTGTAAGTATCCAAACTGCAGCAGGAAATCCTGAAACAGGGAAATAAATTGTAAAGGTAAGCTCACCCACCCTCCCAACATTTACTGGAACACAGAAAGTCCTAGCAAGCTGGGTGTAGAAATACAGAGCCAATGGTGCTTTTTCAAAAGGCAACTGGACTTCCTTTGTTTTTACCTGAAGACATTTCTCTTCTTATCCAAGAAACTTCTTCGGCTCTTCAGTCGAACAGAACTGAAGAAATGTCTTGGATGAGAAGGGAAACGTCTTTAAGGAAAAACAAAAGAAAGTCTAGCTGCATTTGGAAAAAAGCACCTTTGGGGCAACCATGACCTGGATGACTGAGAATCCCAGTAGAAAAATACAGAGCCAGTTTGGTGAAGTGGCAAAGGTGTTGACCTAGAAACCAGGAGACTGTGAGTTCTACTCCCACCTTAGGCATGAAAGCCAGCTGGGTGACTTTGGGCCAGTTATTCTCTCTCAGCCTAACCCAACTCACAAGGTTGTTGTTGTGGGGAAAACAGGAGGAGGAAGGAGTAATATGTATGTTTTTTACCTTGAGTTACTGATAAAGTAATGAAGGTGGGATAAAAATCTAATAAATAAAGATAACCTTGATGAAGATAGGGAGGAGCCATTACCAAGGCAAAAGGGGTTGAAGCATTTTTAAAGGACAGAACAACAAGACAACATTCAGAATTAGCTCAAGTGTACACCTCCCTAGTCCTTTATGAAGAGAGGAGGAGGAGGCTGGGCACAATCAGACTTGCGAGATTGTGTTATTATAACCAATCTCAACTTCTTTTGGAGTGATTTTTGGATCCATTCCACCTAAAGGGGTTGACATTGAGTAACCTCAATGAGGTAATTTCTCTCTGTGCAAATCAACGCTAGATTTTGCAGGCCGCAGACCTTCCTTTTTCCGATTCTATTTGGCTACCCCTGCTGTCTTCAAGTGAATGGAGATAGCAAATAGCACAAATGCTAGGAGTTCTCACACAGATGCACATTTCAGAGGATAATCCTCAATAGCCTCTTTGTTCTTCCCAAAGCATTATGTCTCTCTCACAGATACATTCACACTCGTGTAACCGTTGCTACATTTTGTGGCATGCACACATTATTATAAATAGCACGGTGCTGCTTCCTTGATCCCTCCCTGATCAAGCCAGATTCTTTTGCTGTGAGCCAAAATTGCGCCCTTGGTTGTACAGTACCGCAAAACTCCTCAATCTGCCATTTCAGCTCATCGCAAGTGAGTCAGCCATTCATTTTGCCACAAGAACGGAGTCCGTGATAAATTGAGTCAACGTGGATTAAACCGGGCAGATGAAACCCGAAAATCACGAAAAGCCAGGAAGATAGACGCAAGTCTGAGACAGAAGTGAAGATAGATACAACTAAAATAAAAATGAAGACTGGTTGAATTCACCCATTACTCTAAGCCAAAACAAATGTACCAGGTAATGGCTTATTACAATACCTGAACCCTATCAATGCAATCTTTATCCACCCAGTTTCATATATTATTTTTTGTTCTTGAATCAAGGTCTAGGTAATGATTAGATAGATAGATAGATAGATAGATAGATAGATATCTATCTATCTATCTATCTATCTA